CAAGGCTCCAAGAGACATTTCTGCCTACAAAGCATTAACTTCCTGCAGTTTGTTTTTACTCAAACATAGCATATAAAAGCATATCTACCCAGAAAAGATTATTGGTCATAATGTAGCAGTAAGTTCTGGGGTCTAATTAGAAAGCATCTCACATGTTCGTTTGCAACTCTCAATCCCCCTCTTGTTTATGTCTAATATGAGTTTCATGGCCAATCTGTTTTCTAATTTCCCCTCCTATGACTCTGATGAACCTGACTCAAGCTAGGGAAACTCTGGCTGTCCCTAGTTTGTTATTCTCCCTGGATATTGATCAAATTTTGTTTACCCGTTTTATTTTAGAAAAACTTTAAAAGTACTTTCTTTGCTTCCCACCCCTTACATTTCCCCTTGCACTTCTCCTGTCATCAGCGGCCAGTGTAGAAGAAACGGTCTCCCTTCCACAACTGCGACTTGACCCGCCTGCGATAACGAATACTTTCAATAGAACAAGTACAATTCGCTAGGCTAGGCAAGGGACTTCCAGCATGCCTTAGTCACAAGCAGGCCAAATGGAAACAAGCAAGGGGAAAGTCTGCGAAGTACCAGGTCGGTATTGATTGCTCCTGGGAAGAAATCTTACTGTGAATTGGCCTCTTGTATTTCACACCCTTAATTGGGGACCTGGAGAGTTTGTCAAAGTCTGAAGTGCAGGTGCCCAGCGGGACATCCACCACAGCCCTTCCCCGGGAGTGCAACTGGAAGGGAAGAAGACGCAGCCCCTCTGGCTAAGGGCTACCCACCGCCCTCGCTGGAGCCAGTACTGCTGCTCCCTGATCATGCTCCCACGCGCGCCCCAAGCACGCACCCGCCTCACTCGTGTAGTTCTCGGCTTCCTGCTGCCCGGCAGCAAGTTTGCAGCTCGCGGGTTCCCAGAGGGTTTACAATTCTACGACCTGGGACAGTTTTTCCTTCCATTACTCTCCTTGAATCAAGCCATTTTGTAATCATTCCAAATTTTTATTGTTTAAATTTTTAAAAAATTATTTTTTTATTTATAGGTCTTTTTGAAGCACTATGATTTGCAATACTGTTATTGAGAGTTTCATGCACACAACGTTTCAGCATCACAACCTTCACCAAAGTATCCATTTCCCTCCACCCTTGTCTTACGGCCCCCTCCGAATTACCATTCTCCCCTCCCCAGTCTCTCTCCTCTCCCCCAGGTAAACCCAGCAGGATCGCTTTTGCAAAATTGGGAGAAGAAATAATAAAACTTGGGCCTAAGGTGTGTACAGCCGGCACGACTCAGGATATTTTTAAACAGTAAACTTAAAAGGAAAATGAAGGTATTTGGTTTAATTTTATTTTTAGTCGCAGTGCTCTTGGCACTGTGTTCGTAAAATCACAGCGAAAGCTCGGGGCCACGCTGAATGAACTGGGTCACTGGCGACAGCGACCCGGCCCCGCAGGCCAGAGGCTGTCCAGTCCGACTCTGCTCCTTTGGCGCGGAGCCAGCGGCTGCCGGCCCGGCACCCCTAGGTGCCGGCGTTCCCACCAGAGGGCCGCAGACCGCACACGGTCCTCCCGGGCATCGCCGGCGCCTTCCTCTCTGGGCCCTTCCCGGTGCAGCCGGGACGCGCTCCCCGCGCCAGCCGGACGGTGGCTCCGCCAGTCCGCGGCACCTGTGCACGGCCTTCACCTGCCGGGCTGCCGCCCGCGAAGGAGCCCCGGCCTCCGGGGACAGCAGACTCGTTTCGTTCGCGATCGTTTCTGAAGCCTCCCCATCAGGTCCCAGCAACGCGGGAGTCAGAGGCGACTGTCGCTTAGAGGACACTCTCTGTCTGTCTGTCTGTCTGTCTTTCGCTGTGTCTGTCTCTCTCTGCCGCTTTCGGGCTACACCCGGCAGTACTCTGGTTTTCTCGCGGCTCAGGGATCCCTGCTGGCGGAGCTCCGGAGAATCCTAAGTGATGCTGGGAGCCGAACCGGGCGAGTCGTTCGCAAGCCCTTGTCTTTGCCCTGTGTACCGTCTCTCCGGCGCTCCGAGAGCGACCTTGTCGTCAACTGCGACGGGCCTGAGCACGGGGACGGGCTTGGAGCGACCGCCCGCAGCTCCCGCCGCCCGCGCGCCCTGCCGCCCCGCCACCCCCGCCGCCCGGGCCCCAGGAGCAGGTGCCGGCTCCGGCCTTCTGCCCCCGGCGCGCGGCGGGACTTTGGTCCCCTCCTCTCTGGGCATTCGGGAACCTGCATCAGCCACTGAGGCTCCTTGGCGACCCTCGGGTCTATTCTCTGCCTCTCCCGGCGTGGAACCTCGGCTGACGCTCTCGTCCCCGCTCCCCGAGGCCGCAGCATTCTGAGCCCGGTTCCGAACCCCTGGGTTCCGATCAGCCCAGCCGGCCAAGCACAGCCTGAAACCTCGGGCTTTTACCTCCGTGCGCTCAGCGCCGACCCGGTCGCCGCCGCGCCCATCTCCGTGGGACCGGGCGCGCCCAGAGGGGAGACCCTCCTCGGCCCGGCCCGCAGAGTCCCCCGCGCCGCGAGACCCCGCGGAGCCGGGCCGGCGCCGACAGGGGGCGACAAACCGCGAGCTTTCCCGATGACCGGGCTGCGAGCGGCCGCGACCGGCGCAATGCGATCCCCGGGGCAAGCGGCTTGGGGCTGTTGGGGGCCGGGGGACACTGAATGTGAGACGAGGACGTGTAGCTCAGATACCCCAGAGAGGCTCTCAGGTGCAATTCCTCCTTGGTCTCCCGCAGCCCCGGGGCCAAGGGGAGAAGGAAGATAAGGTCTTAAGTTAGACCTATTCGCCAAGGGCCCGAGCTCTACTGGCAGTGACAGGCGTTGTCCGTTCCCCCACAGGGCGGTGGGAAACAAAAATCTCCCTCCTGGGCACCACCAGTTTTATTTACTCTTACTCTGAGTTTGCCTTCCGACTCCCCGCCTACAGAGAGAGAATTGCCGCTTAGGGTAAAGAGCTTCAGCTGCTTGGTCTCATCTAGGTTGCACTGGTTATGAACAGCTGCTTTTCACACGTCTAGGAACCAATCGTTTTGGTCTCCGACGGCTGACTTGAAATTAAGGCAATCGGAGTTTGAATCAGAAGCTGAAGGTCCCAAACACCTGCAGACCAGGGCAGCATGCCGTCACCCAGTAAGTCCTCGGGCTCTGCTCCATGCCTTCTCCATTCGCCTACTTTGATCAAAACCACCTCTGTTCCCGGTTCCTGAGCTTAATTTTTCTGGCTTAATACATTGTCTGGCTTAATACTCCAAATAGTCCTACTATAACACACACTTTGATGAACGCACTGATTGGTCTTTGCACAACCTCTCTGAGGTTCTTGAAGCTAAAAAACCCCTTGATCTTTGTGCTGTGGCAGAAGAGAGTTCTCATCTCTTTTGAAGCCGGTTTTTCCTTTTTGTCAAGTGATAATTCTTGCCTTAGTCCCTGCTGCCACCCTACCGGCCCTTGCCTTTCTTCCAGAGGGTCAGGCCTTTCTAATGAACAGATTTAGAGAGCTCGACTAGAGACCAGCAATGGTTTCTGATCCACCCTTGGATGGAAAGGGGCTAGGAAGTCACCGCTTCAGTTTCCCCATGCTTGTGCAGTCACCGGCAGGCATTTGGGTCCTTCTCCTCTGTAGGCCTTAATGAAACGGCTTTCTTGGAGTGGCCAGACTCCAGTTGGACCCCAGGTCAGAGCTGGACATTGAAGGAGTCTGGAGTCCTGGTGGGGTATGGTGAGGTGGGGTGGGGGAATGGTGCTTCTCCCTAGAATTGGTCCCTTCCCTGCTCTTCAGCCCTTCATCCTTGGAGCTAACCCTTCGCAAATTCTGGTTCTGACCTTCTCTTCTAAGTTTGGCACAAAGATAGGAACCTTCTCCTTCCCCCGCTGTCAGCTCCACAGTGTATCCTCCCTTGAGACCGCTTCTATTAGTAGCAGTTAGTTAGAGCTAGGGCATGCAGAACTAGGTGTTGATACAGTAAAGGAAAGAAAAAAATGTTTCTAAGACCAAAGAATCCAAAGTTCCGGTCCTTACCTAAATTAAGATGAAAGAACTCTTGAGTGGTTTAAGAAAGGTCACCCTGGAAGTCCAGGTGCTAGGTGATAGGACAGGTCAGGCAGCCCTGGAGAGATCAGCTGTGTGTGCAAGCTTCAAGTGTGGGTGTTTCTCAGGTCTGGGAGAAACAGAAATCTCTTACTGGTCTAAAATAAAAATCTGGAAGTTTTTCAGGGTCCAGAGAACTCCTTTGGGAAGTCTAACTATGTCCCACATCATTTCTTGGGGAGCACTATATTTGAAGCTAGTTACAGGGGAAAAGTCTAGAGTGTGTTCATCCTAAGTCTCTGAAATCACATCACTATCCCCAGTGAGTGGGTGGCTATTAAACAATGTAAAGATATTCTGAGAACAATATAGGCGTGGAGACAAACAGAGAGACTAAGGAATCAGACGCACTATACAGTTTCTTGGGTCCTCTTGGCTTTCAGCTCGGCAGGACACCCATGGCCAGTAGGGGTGTCCACACACTAATAATCAACTTACATCATTGATCTTAGTTGTAATACTAGTGGTGGAGAAGATGATAAAGGTAAAACCAAAGGATTACAATCTGCTGCTGCTACCAGTCAGTTTCAAATGAGTTCTTTACCATTCTCAAAATGGGGTGGGGGTGGGGTGGAATATGGGTGGGTGGGGGGAGAAATTGGAGGTGATTGGTGTCCCATCTGAGTTAAGGTGTGTGTGTGTGTGTGTGTGTGTGTGTGTCTGTGCTCGCGCGCGCGCGCGCGCTCGCGCACCCGCGCGCTCAGGGGGGTGGGTTCCGGAGGAGCGCCAAAGGGGAGGACAGGAGGAGAGCGTAGAGTTTCAGGCAGGGGAGGGGGGCTCCGGGGTGCAGTGACGAGAACCAATGAGCTGCCAACCCTCGCGTCTCCTCCGGGACCTCCGAGATTGACGTGGAGCACACGTCAAATTGATCCCCGCACGCCGCAGCCTCCCGGTCAGACGAATTTCTCCTAATCGGATGAAGTTCCCGCTGGGCCTGGGGGCGCGGGCGTGGAGAGTGTCGCGGGCGCGGGCGGCGGCGGGCCCGGGCGCGGGGGCCGCGCTCGGCGGCGGCCCGCGCGGGTCGGGCCGGGGCTCGGGGCTCGCGCGCGCGCTCCCTATATGCCCGTCCCGCCGCGGCCGCGCTCTCCCGCCCCGCGCAGGGCCCGGGCGGCTTGGCCCGCGCGCTATGGGTAAGGGGCGACGCGCGGGGCGCGGGGCAGCGAGGGGGTCGTGTCTCGGCGCTCTCTTCAGGAGCGGGACGGGCCGCGCACTCCGCGTGCCTCCAGCTGCGAGGGGGCTGGCGGGGAGACGGTGCGGGGCGCCGAGGAGGGGCTGCCCCAAACCAGCGAGGCAACCGTTCTGGAAGGGCACGGGGCGGGGGGCTGCAGCGCTCCGCGAGGCCCCGCGCGGTCCCGACCAGGGCGCCTGCCCCGGAGGTGGGTCTGGGCCGTCTGTCCCCAGACCCCGGGGCTCCTGGGCCGCCTTTGGAGGCGAGCCCCTTGCAGTGTCCCGTCTTTCGCGCCGCCCTGGGTGACCCGCCCGTGTCTTTCCCTCCCGCTCCCTTTCTCGGGCTGGTCCGCAGAGCAGACGTACGGCGAGGTGAACCAGCTGGGCGGCGTGTTCGTCAACGGCCGCCCGCTCCCAAACGCCATCCGTTTGCGCATCGTGGAGCTGGCCCAGCTGGGCATCCGGCCCTGTGACATCAGCCGGCAGCTTCGCGTGTCGCACGGCTGCGTGAGCAAGATCCTGGCGCGCTACAACGAGACCGGCTCCATCCTGCCCGGGGCCATCGGGGGCAGCAAGCCGAGGGTGACGACCCCCAACGTGGTCAAGCATATCCGGGACTATAAGCAGGGCGACCCTGGCATCTTCGCCTGGGAGATCCGGGACCGGCTACTGGCCGACGGCGTCTGCGACAAGTACAACGTGCCCTCGGTCAGCTCCATCAGCCGCATCCTGCGCAATAAGATTGGAAACCTGACGCAGCCCGCGCCCTACGAGGCCGGCAAGCAGCCGCCACCGCAGCCTGCGCTCCCCTACGGCCACGTCTACCAGTACCCCTACCCCGGGCCGGTGTCGCCCGCGGGAGCCAAGATGGGCAGCCACCACGGGGTCCCGGGCACAGCGGGCCACGTCAGCATCCCTCGTTCATGGCCCTCGGCCCACTCGGTCAGCAACATCCTGGGCATCCGGACATTCATGGAGCAAACAGGTCAGTCGTGGCGGTCTTCGGGAACCTTCCAGCGAGGAGCAGAGTTGGAACTAGGAGAGGCGCGGGCGCCTGAGGGAGACGGTTCCCGTTTGCCTCTGTCATTCTGCTCAAACGAGTTTTTGGGAAGGACTTAAAGCTGACCAGGGAATCTTAGGGGGTCCCAGGCCTCTTGCAGGACTTCTCGGACATCTTGAACGTTTTATGATAAGTATGGAAAATATTTCCTAAGTGGAAGCGCAATCGCTGACCACAAATTCAGAGTCCTGACATTGCGCCTTTTCATTCTTGCAAAAAAAAAAGTATGCAAACTCCTATCGCCAAATCTAAGCCAAACAAACCTCAAAATCAAGTCTGCATAACCCCCACCCCCACCACTTTTGGATTCAGATCTTTTGGATCCATCACGGTTGTGGACAAATTCTGTCCCTCCCGTGCTCAAAGTTTCTTCCAGTGAAAGGTCAGGGCGGGAGGCATCTAGCTAGTCTTGTCTCTTGGCCTACATTTCTAAGTCCTGAGGGCAGCAACCATCCTTGGGAGGAATTTTGTATTTTGTTTATAATCAGAACTCAACAAATAATTAGTCATCCCTCTGGATAGGAATGGGAAGGAGCAAGAGAGGTTTGGGGTGGCCTTGGTTTGGGCCACAGGGGAGAGAAATGGAGTATTATTGGCTGGGTCACTATCCCTGGTCCCCAGCAACCAGCCAGAGGATGCAATGTTTTTAAGCTGAGCAGACTCAGGAAGAGGGTAAGATGCAAAAACTGACCTAGCCCTAGGAAGAGGAAAGGTGGGCAATGTGACCTTAGCTGAGTTTGCCCAGCTCAGTGCTGGCCTTCAGAGTCTCTTCGACTCACCCACTGCAGGCATTGTTTCTCTGGGGACTTACGCACTGTCAGGGCCTCTAGCTGGTCTAAGAGTTGGGGAGTGACGGGGAGCTGCCTGCCTGCGCCAAGCTTATCCCCATAGGCCTCTGTTCTCCTGCTCCCACCTGGAGTTTTCTAGGAGCCTCCAGACACACCTGCTCCAGAAGCTGATTTAAGCGTGGAAAGGGCCCTGGCTTGACGCTTTTTCAGGGATTTTTCCAGACTCCCTCACTTTCAGAGACTTTGAGAATTCCCTATAATTCTGTAGAGCCTGATGTTGATTTGAACTTGAGCCGTTCCAGGAACTGCCTCTGAAGCGCGGAAAGGTCGCCTTGACAGGGTGTCCTCTCCCTATCACGCCCTTGGGCCGGCTCCTCGCTGACACATCTCGTTTTGCGGGAAGCGAGTGGTGGTCTCTGGAGCGAGCGGCTGGTCCCGTCGCCCTTCTCCCTCTCCACCTTGCTAGGAGTGAAAGCGAAACCCGGTCCCAGCCTTGTCCCCCGGGCGCCCTAGGCCGCCGCGCCTTAATGCGCTCTCGGGCGCTCCGTGGAGAGGGGGGTCCCGTTTCTCACCTGCTCTGTCTCCATCAGGGGCCCTGGCCGGGGCCGACGGAGCCTCCTATTCCCCGAAGGTGGAAGACTGGGCCGGCGTGAACCGCACAGCCTTCCCGGCCGCCCCAACCGCCAACGGGCTGGAGAAGCCTGCCTTGGAAGCGGACATAAAGTACACGCAGGTAAGCAGGCAGCAGGTGGGTGCAGCCAGAGGGGGCCAGAACAAACTGTGAAGCTGAGGGAAAACAACCCCTCCGGGCAAGGGCCTGGAACCTGCGGCTCGGGTGTCTCGGCGGCCCAACAGCTCTGTTGCGGTGTCCTTCCTCCTCCCCGCGCTCTGGGCTGGGGGCCGCTGGCCCTCAAGGACACTGAGTTTTTTACTTTTGTCGAAATATTTTTGCTGAACAAAAGTGGACCGCTTAACCCAGATGGCTGTAGATGCCTCCTTTCCTTTGAATTTCCAGGGTGAAAACCACGGTTTCTCTCTCCTCCCTCTCCACAACGTATTTTGGTTTATTAAACGGTTGATATCCAAGTACTAAAGTCATTATTTTATAGTTGCAGAGTGCTACATCGTGCCCACACTTCCATCAGCATTTACAATCCCTCCCACCTCTCCATTAGTGCTTTAAAAAACTTTTTGAGGGGAGATCCTTCTGCTCAGTAATTACAGGGAAAAGTCGAGACCAGCCCTCAAGTAGGGGGAAGTGAAGATGACTGCACCGGCGGGTGCGTCCTGGCCGCCTGCTCTGACTGTCAATCTCTCTCCCGCAGTCAGCCTCCGGCCTCTCAGCAGTGGGAGGTTTCCTCCCGGCCTGCGCTTACCCTGCCTCCAACCAGCACGGGGTGTACAGTGCTCCAACCGGCAGCTACCTCGCCCCCGGCCCGCCCTGGCCACCAGCACAGGCCTCCCCCCTGGCGCCCAGCGTGCACGGCGGGGAGCTCACAGCTACAATGACCTTCAAGCATCCCAGCCGAGAAGGTGAGAGAAAGGGGAGAATGAATGCCAGGTGGGGAGGAGGTACAGTCTAGAAAAGTGTGCAGCAATCAGTGTTGGCAGGTGTGTGTGTGTGTGTGTGTGTGTGTGTGTGTGTGTGTGTGTGTTGGGGGTGGAGTGAGGGGAACCCACTGGCAGTCTGGAGTAGGGCTACCTGGCACAAATCCTTTTCTCTGGTTAAATGTGAATTCGCTTGATTTTTTGAAGCAGTTTTTTTTTTCTTTTAGTTTTGGGTCCATACCCAGAAGAGCTCAGGGCTCATTTCTGTCTCTGCTCAGAGCTCACTGCTGGCCGGGCTCTGGGCACTGTCTGGAATGTCAGGGGGTTGAACCCTGGTTGGACCAGTACAAGGCCAGTGTTCCACTGTACTATCGTTCTCGCCCCAGGAGCAGATTAAAATTTTAACAAGCTGTATATAGGTGTATGTCCTATATACAAAACCTGCCCTTGAGTCCAAAGTTTTCTCCTTAGTTTTGTTTTGAATTGATGGCTTTATCTCAGGCATGTAGAATCCCAGAGATTTATTATTAGGCAGTGAAAGAGGTTTTGTTGGTCACAAGAACTCCTAGGTATGGGTCCTGTTCGTTTTGTGTTCCACCAAGAAATTGCTTCTTTTTGAGTGTCAGTAAAAAAATCTATGAAAGGGTCTAGAAACACCTTCAAAGCCTTCATGTGTTCTGTGGCATGGGACCTGCTGCCACACCTGAATCGCACAATCAGGTGATATTGGACTTTCTGTACTGGTCTCTTGACCAGTTTTAGGACCAGTTCAAGATTCATTCTGTGTAATTTACCTCCCCAACTCTAATCTTAATTTTAGACAGGCCCTGGTCTTTCTTTAGATTAATTTTCTTAAACACATCCTTTGGGAAAGGAAAGAGCATTTTAGTTCTGTGTTCCTCAGTCTTTTTGGACTCTTTTATGATTTGGGGTCCTTTCTGTGGGTTAAGTGGGAATTCTCCTGCTCCTTGCCTCCAGTTACTCTCCTAAAAGTCGCTTAATCAATTTGAGATAAAGCTGATGGTTAACAGTAGAGGGGCCTTTTCTTATGAACCCACTGACTGTCAGGTTTTGTTTTATTTTCTTTCTATATCATGGAAAAGATCACCTGCCCATGAGTCCAAAGTTTTTTCCTTAGTGAAAGGAATGCCTGGATTTCATAATTTCCAGTTTATGACTAGGTACTCAAAACTTCAACCACCACCCAGGAAAGGAGGGAAGGAAGTGCCTCAGGGAGTGTCAGCTCCTGTGGTGAAGAAGAAGGGGTTTAAACTTGGTGAGAAGGGCAGTTTATAATTGTACCAGATTATAAAATGATCTTTACCAGTGGCTCAGTCTCACACCTGCCAATGTGTAAGTGGAGGGCAGGGGGCACTAGACAAGCAGGAGTCAAAAGACTTCCTGCTGTCTAGGTGAAAAGCATTATTTACAAGTAATCTCAGTGAGACATAGCATCATGATTTATGAGTGACATGGAATTTGGTAAAGGCCGAAGAGTAATATGCATTCGTAGGAATCAAGTCAGGGAAGACAAATAGAGAAATACTTTCACACTTTATAGTCAATAAGAACACTGAAATGTCAATCTACAAAAATTGAAAATTGCAACTCCTTTAAGATTAATTTAAATAATAGAATAATACACTTGCTAATTTGTAAAAATAAAATTCAAATAAAGAAAACCTTTGAAAATTGAAAATCAGGAATTAGAACTCTATTTAGTTTTACTTTGGGAGTCAGATATGAGAATCTTAGTAAAACTTTGCACAGGAACTTTGTCCTGGGCTAAGAATCCATTTTCTTGACAATCAAATTGGTCTGTTGAATCAGAAATTGAACTATAATTTCTCTCACTACAGAATTCTTTTAACTAAGGTTCATATTAATTAGAGAAGTAGGTGCATACAGCTAAATTTAATCAATCCGCCTCTGCTAATCCTGGGGAAGAAGACCTAGACAAAGGGCTTGCTATTTTCAAAGTCATGCCGGCACTTTTCTAATAGAACCACCTTGATTTGTGGAAACTTAAGTTCTATATTAGAAACAAATTATGACCTATGGATAGCAGAAATAACCTAAAGGGAAATTATGCATACAATTCTGAACTCAAAACTAACTGGTTAGTTTGCAGCAAGAGGTTCCAACATTCAGACTCATTGCTGACTCCTTTAGGAACTAAGTTTCCTTCAGAAATATAGGATTAATCAGTGTCACCAGCATTCACATCCCTTTTACCCTGCCAATAGCTTTCTTTTTTGAGCAGCCCATTCTTTTTCAAAATCGGTATTACTAATTAGATACTTTAGTTATTAAAAATTGTTTTCTTGGTTTTACAATTTCTTACAGATCCATCATAAAAAGTGACTTCTTAAGTTTTCTTACTAGTGTTTGTGTTTGAATTAGCACATAAAAATAATGAGAATGACATAAGTTACTTAGGTTATAGAGTTTTGTTCTCACTGGAAGAACAGCTGATTTTTAAAGACTGACCCTCAAAGGATCTTTGAAAAACTACAAAGTGCTTTCATATTATTGCTTTCTTTCTTCATCATTGCTTAAGTCATCTTCAAAGACTGTCCCTTGAGATAATTTATTATCACTAATTGTTGTTCAATTGGTAAATGTTAAGAACAACATTTGTTGAATTTTTTCATGAATAGATTTAATCGTGAATTCTCAGTAAAAAAAATATTTTGGTCACCTAGTGCACCAAAGTGGTGGTGGTGGGGGAGGGGAACACTGGAATGATCTGTGGGGATAGTAGTGGCCTCTGGTGCAATTGGGGGAGAAGAGGAATTTTCTCTTTGTCCTTTTAAAGTAAGTAAATGTCCAGGAAGTCACTGAGTGAAAAAAAAAGAAGCCTACAGGCTCCATAAATTTGGGAATTTCTGAATACACACAAAATGTTTTATATCTCCTTACAAGAGACTCTCTAAACAGCAATATATATTATGATGCTACTACTCTCAGTCTCTCTTTCCCTTCCAAAGCAGGTGTAATGGACACTAAAGACTACACTAAGGAAAGGCTGGTCATAGCTCACTCTGTACCTTACCAATCATTAATACTATCTTGGTAAAAAGATAATGGAGAGGCTTGAGCAATAGCACAGCGGGTAGGGCATTTGCCTTGCAATTGCCTGCTGCAAGTTGACTCTAGTTGGATCTCCAGCATCCAATATGGCCTCAGGAGCACTGTCAGGGGTAATTCCTGAGTGCAGACCCCTGAGCATCGCCAGGTGTGACCCAAAAAGGCAAAAACCAAAAAAAAAAGATAATGGAGTTTGGGTTCTCTGTTATATAAGTAAGAACATATAATTTAAATCTCCAATTCATGAAAAATATCTACAATTTTCTAGAATTGGGAGAATAGGAATATAGGCTCCATCTTCATACAGGGGTGCAGGATTTTCTGGGAATCCCCCAAACCCATTCCAGAGTCTTCATAACCAAGGGAAAACATAGGTGAAAGATTCCTTCCCCACCTCAAAATTCTCCAGGACAACCGGGTATTTACTATATTCTCAGAAAACCTCACTTTTATGAAACCTTCCAGTAGGGTTTTTGGAAAGATTTGGAAATGAAACTCTAAGGTGTTGCTTATTTTGAAAGAAAATGCATTACTTTTACTTATTAAACAATAACTGGCAGCTTTTTCTTTCCACTTATCTCTGCTGAGGTTTAGTCCTTGAAGGGGGATCCTAAAAGTGAAGGGAGGACTAAGGGGAAGAGATGTTTTTCAGAGATTACAGCTTCTAAAATGGGTCTTACTTGGCTTAGCCCTGGGAGAGTCCTTCCAGCACCTGCCTTCCTCTGCCCACCACCAAAGCTTCCAATCACCCTGCAGTCTCAGTTCTAACATTTTCAGTAAGCTGGTCTCCACCCCGCCCCTACTATTGAAGTGATTGTTGCTTTCCTAAGGCGCCCCCAACCCTTCTGGGCTGTGCATAGCAGGCACACTACTGTTCCCGTTCTGGAGTCTCCTGCTCTCTAAAGCAAGGGAGGGGAGGCCCTAGGACTGGCTCAGACAAAGCTTCAGGACAGCGACAAGATCGCCTCTTTCCAGTGAAGTAGAATCTCTCTGGGGGTCCAGGGTGGGGGGTTTTCAGTTCATTTTCTTGTGGTTTCTTAGGTTCTGGGCTGAGACTCTCCTGCTTTCTAAATCCCACCTCACTTGGAATTCCTTGTTTGTAGAGGGTGGAAAGAAAGAGTTTGAAAGCTTCCCGAGCAGCCACAACTTTATAGGAAAGAAAGCTGAGAGATGGGGAAGAGAGGAAAAGACTGTTCTGGAAAAAGTCTTTAGACTCCCTGGAAACCCTGCTAAGTCACATACATGTACACGGGTGCTAGAGAGTGTCCTTTCCCAGAGGTGTGAGACTCAGCTGCAAGCTGGGCTCCCTGGGGACAGCTTCAAGGGGAAAACATGTTCAGGGTTTGGGCTGAACCCCAAAGTAATGGCCTGGCGTTCTCCCATTAGATTGTATGTGTGTGTGTGGGGGGTGGGGGAGGAGGTTGGTGGTAGTGGTACGCGGCTCTGTCCCCCAAGGCGGTGCCCAGGAAACTCTGTGGTGCCGAGGACCAAACCCGGCCTCGGGACGCAAAGCAAGTGCTCAGTCTTCTGAGCCATCTCTCAGGAATTTCCGAACTCTCCCTCTAAAAACGAAATTGGGGGCCGCGGGCCGCTAAAAAGGTTAAAAACAGGTCTCTTTAGATCTAAACAGGCCTATGCTTCCGAACTCAAAAGTAGCTGAGCAAACCAGTACTAGGAAAGGAAAAACAGGTTGCGCAATCGTGGCGTCACTTTCCTGGCTCCCAGTAGCAGAACTTGGGCCTCTCCCCAACTTCCTAATAATAGAGCGATGCACAGAGTGCCGTCGGACCTGGCGAGTCAGCTGTCGCCCGGACCCCGGCGCGGAGGCCCGGGGCGTGCCGTGCCTTTAGCGCGGAGCATCTGGACTCCGTCCGGGAGCCCGACGGTGTCTGCCGCCCCTTCCCAGCGCTGCGGGCTCCCAGGGGCGGCGGAAGGCGACTCCCAGACAGCTCCTCGGCCTCCCTCCCTCCAATGAGGTCCCCTCACTAGATTTTTGCCCAACCGAGCCGGAGCCTCTCGACGAACAGTCTCCCTGAGCGTTGGCTGCGCTCGGGGCCTGTGAGCACAGCGCCGGCAGGGAGAGTGGGGAGCGTCGGGAGCGCGTTTGCGCGATTCGCCCGGTCCCTACTCCAGGGCCCTCGGTCTAGTTGCGATGCCCCGGCCAGCGGGCGCCTTTCCACCGAGAGGTCGGGGCGCAGTGCGATGGGCCTGGTGGGGGACAGCCGCTTTCATGGCTGGCCGGCCCGGAGGCTGCCTGCAGGGGCGAGACAGAGGCCCCCAGGGCTGTGGGCGCAGGGGAGATCGCGGCTCCGTGTCCTTTTCCAGAGCTCCGGGGCGTCCACGGAGCGTAGTTTCCCGCCTGGAGCGGCCAGGGACCTGGATCTTTCCCTGCGCAACCGTAAAGAGTGACCCACGCCCCTGTGCTTCCTCCCGCAGTGGCCGACCGGAAGCCGTCCAGCCCCGGAGGCAAAGCCCCGGACAGCCTTGGCAGCTTGCACGGACTGCCCGGCCCGGCCTCGACCTCCTAGGGCCGCGCGCCGGGACGTGAGGACTCGCGGGCCCGCAGCCGCCAGCCCGGCCGTCACGCACTGCTTAGGAGCCGGCCGGGTCTTTAAGGCTTTTAGAATTATTGCACCCACGTCGCGGGTCTTGCCTCGCTGACAACGACGGCCTCCCTGGCACTTCCAACTCGTCTTTCCCGACTTCCTCCGGGATCACTGTCACTCTCCTGTCCTGCCCTGTTCTAGTCCCCCCCCCCCCACCTGTTCTTCTTACCTTTCTTGCGCTTACCACTTTCCCAGCCTTCCTTTCCCCTTGCCGTCGGTGTCCCTGCGACCCTCCTTTGTTCTCCTCTCTTTCCTATTGTGCCCAGTCTGTTGTGCTCCGATTCCTGTGGTCCAGCCCAGCTCCCGACCTCCTTTTTGTCTGTCCTTTAGAGCTCTGGCTCTCTTCTTTTTCCTGATCCTTGACACCCTCAACCTCCTTTCTGGAGAGTCCCAAACCGGTCTCCCCATTGCTCTCCTCTGGCAGCTGCACCCAGCCTTAATGAGGGGTGCTCTCATTGAGTGAACAGAGAAATTACAGAAGAATATTCTGTATTTTTCGAATAATGAATCCTAACAAAATTCCTCTTGAAGATCTCTTCCTGACCCCATTCCAGGATATAGTCCCCAACCTGTATTTTCGAGGTGCCTAGTGGCTGGACTTTTCTTTCCTCTGATGTCATCCCCAAAGATCAGGGTAGGTGTGGAGGACATTTGTGTTTCCTGGAGTTAGAAAATCCTGGGTCTTAGAGATGCTCCCTCCCACTCCTCTCCCAACACCAGGGTCTCTGACACATGGTAAAGACATTATCACTGTTCTTAGCCTTTGGAGGTCAGCACAATTGTTAATTTAAACCACAAATGCTTCAAGGGGTAGGGTGCAGACTTACAAAGGTGCAATGAGGCTTCTGGTTTGTAAGGAGTTGTGGGGGCAGTGGAAAAATTTGTAAGATTTCTTCTAGAGAAAAGCACAGAACTATTAACTGCTTCCAAGTTCAGGTGCACCAGTGGTGGAGATGGGGATGGGGTGGGGGACACTGGATATAAAACTACAGTTTTGTAGTTGTAAAATGTCACTGGTAAGAGTCTGCTATCACCTGTTAAACACAATTGACTTTGAATAAAGGAAAGCATGTTCGAAGAGTACACTTTGTAAGGATGATCAGGCCTGCGGACCAGTTTGGGGGGGCTGTGTGAAATCCCCCCCCACACCAGTTCTATGCATATATTAAGGGGGGATTGTTTTATTGAGTTTTGTTAGTAGCATTTACAGCCCAGACTGTGCAAGAGGTGGAAGAGAAAGTGAAAAAGGAGGACAATTTCCAATGTTTAGTTCCAGGAAAATCAGATTAGTCCCGGAGAACTGAGGTAGGGAGAGGCTCTATATGTAGAAATCATCCTACGAGAAATGAATCCTAGGCTAGAAAGGGGACCAAAGAGAGCAGGAACAGTGGAGGAGTTCTCAGGACATTCCAAAAGATAAAAAAAAGCATCACAAGCTACTAAAGTATGTAGAGATATCTACTGATCACAAACTTTGTCATTAGATATCTTTTTCATTTTTCTAAAAAATAAAATATTTACTTTTGTTTTTCCTCCAGTGTTTGGCTTTCTAAAACTGGTGGAAAAGATTTTTGAGTTGAAAGTTTTGGTGGTGCTGGGATGTGGGGATTTGGGTCACACTGGATAGTGCTTAGGACTTGCTTTTAGTTCTGTGTTTAAAATCACTCTTCTCAGACTTGGGAGGCCATGTAGGGTGCCAGGGGGATTGACCCAAGGTTGTATTGTGCAAGGGAAGCACCCTACTCACTGTACTGTTTGTCCAGCCCCTGAATTGAAAATCTTAATCAGTTTGCTTTTAGGTTACACCCAGTAGTGCTCTGGAGTTAGTCCTGGCTCTGTGCTCAGGGAAAACCTCTGGCAGTGCTTGGGATACCATATATGATACCAAGGGTAGAACCAAGGGTCAACTGCATGCAAGGCAAATGTCTTAAATTCTATTTTATCTTCCCAGTCCTCCTATTGGATCTAAAAAAGAAAAAAAACCTTTAAAAATTGTAAGTAATGCTTCCTGCTTGGACATATGGAGCAGATGAGAGGAAAATTATATTTTTATTTTATTTTTCTGCAGTGATACCTACTGAAGGTATTAATCATGAACAGGAATGTTGAGGGCTAGTGATTTGGTTTATTTTCTCTAGAATTACAGCAAGCTACAAAGAACAGGTTTTAGACACAGAAAAGGATGGCATGTTTGAAGCTTGGAGTTTTCAGCCTTCTGGGCCTGCTTTTTCTGCAGAGAGACTGATCATTATGTTAATAGGTATAAAGTAAAAAAATGAAGCCTACTCTCAAGTCCTCCATATTCTCGGTCTGTCTTTGTTTTACATGCTCAATCATTGATGGCATTTTCATGCATCCAGTCTTGCTGCCTGCAAAAGAACTCACTTGAATGGGCAGAGAACATCTCATCCCTCTATGGAAATATGAGGAAAATAGGATTGACTTCTACTTCTGCATTGTAATCACCTTTATTTCCCTGATACTTTCTATTTCTATGTTTGGGCTGAATCAGGTGAAGGATGATAATGGGAAACAACTCAGGAGGAATGGAAGGTAAATACGTTAATGCTTTTTGCAAAGGATCACACTTTTCAAATTTGCCCAAGAGGTTTTCTGTACCTTTGGACTAGAGAGAGTCTCCATAACTTCCTGTCTCTGGGTGAGCATCCACAGAGGCCAGATAGCACTCAGTCACAGTGCCAACAGGTGGGTTACAAACATTTCAGATAGCATATATAGGACTATACCTTCTTTCTTGAAAGCATAAGCTACAGAAAGTCCCAGAAAAAAAAATTAAATCCACAGCACAATGTGGGCTTGCCTCTGATATCTTCAAGCCCTGGTGTCCTGTTTGTGAAATGCACCCTTCAGTATGATCACGATGAAAATTTGACCAGCACTGATGTTTGACCAGCACTGATGTTGCCTTATTTCTCTGAAGGTGGGGTTATTTGGCTATTAACTACTGGTTATACTTTTTATGACATCTTATTATCTCATTCCTACTTTGGACAAACTTGCAGGCTATCGAATGTAGCCTGCCCATAGGGCAGAGTCTGGCAAACTCCCCATGGCCTACCAAATATGCCAAATACCAGTAACAATGATGGGTCTCATTCTCCTAAAGAGCCTTGAATATAATCTCAGGGCTAGGATGAAAGAGACGTTACTGGGGCCTGCTCGAGGCAATCGACGAATAACAGGATGATGATGAATGAATGAACTACTGGTTAGTAGCTAAGTAACGCCATGGATGAGGAGTCAATTTATGGTGGACGTAGGATCTAGAATTTAAATAGTTTTCAAAAGACCCCATTGGAAATCTATTTTTTGGATCTGAGGAGGTATGGAGGACTTAAAGTAAATTTAAGCTATTCTATTAGATAGAATACTGTGAGAAAGAATAATGCACTAAAATACTAAGAATATTCTTATAGGGGATTGGGAAATGATTCAGAGGACTGGAGCACATGTGTTGCATGCTGAAGTCTGGGTCTAATTATTGGCACAGGATAGTACCCTAAGAACTACTGGAGCACCCTGAGCACCTTTGGGTGTTTCCCTAAAAGTGTTCTTTAAAAATATAAGGAACTACCAAGAAGAAAAATGTATATATGATCACTCAAAACCCCTCTGATTTGTTGAAAGAATGAAGGTAACATATTTACATTAAAAATGCAAGTAGTAAGAAATGTAGAAATGAAAAGTGAAAGTTTCCTAATGTCCTTAGTTTTTTCCTCAAAGGCAAACATTAGTTATTTGTCAGTTCTTCCAGAGAAAATAATTCAAAGAGCAGAACATCTGCCTTTGTATATATGCTATCCAAAAGTACACACCAAAGAGCTGAGTGCCCCAGACTAGAAACTGGAGCTTTTGTCTTCCCCCAGCTTCAGTCCTCCATATTCACTTTGTTCTTTTGAATGGATGAATAGAAATTAAGGTTTATTATATGTGTTTGTAAGGAGAACATGCTTCATGCTTCAAATGAATAAAAACAGGATTTTGTTGGAGGAAGTGCTTAGAATGGCCTGCAATAACCTCCCTGGGAAAGGTGATTGCTTTTTGGCAAAGAGGAGAGCAAGCAGAGCAAAACCAAAGGAAAGGAGACAGATCTGTTTCTCACTTGAAAATACCCTGTCATGTCCTATAGGCCACTAATTTGCATTTAAAGTTGCAATTTACTTTTCCTTTGAAGGCAGTAGGTCTCTCTGATCAGGTAAAAGAGAAAGAGGCAAAGAAGTAGATAGAAGCCTATTTGGAGAAATGTTGGATAGGAATGAACTGTCTATATCTAATATTGACACAAGCATTTTTTTCTACATATTTACATCAAATTGAAGTGGAATTAACCTGATAGGTGAACCTCATTTATTGATAACTGTGTTTGCTTATTTCTTGACTCCTCTTAAAGAGGATGGGATTTATTTAATTGAACTGTGCTCTGGGCTAAAGCACACTGTACATATCTTGGCATCAGCTAACTTAGATAGAATTACACTGGCCTGGGTTTCTTTTCAAAAGAAATTCTACCTGCTGCATGTTATGCTGGATAATATGAATTTAAGAATCTTGCCAAAATTTGCCCGAGGAACTCAGTTGAAACGGCTGTGCCTCCAGACAAGCTGTGTAATGAGAAACATTTGATTCTCTTTTTTTAATGGCCGGGAATTATGCACAAAGTGCTATTTGGCCTTCACTTTGACCTTGCTATCTGAACTATAGCCTCACTCACTGAAGAAATGTCCTGTGACTGAGATATAAAGATTGAATTTTAACAGAAAAAATTCTGTTTTGGAGTCTTTTTTCCCCCCCAAGGACAGAGCAAAGAAGTATCAAGTCTTCTTTTCCCAGCTATCACATAAGAACCACACAATCAAACTTGAGGATTCAAAAACTTACTTGGAGCAATTATCCTTAATTTA